GAAACTTCTCTTGGCAGTTTGAAGGTTTTTCTGCAACAAGTCCCTCCCTGTGCTTCTCAAATCAGAGTCCACTCCAGATCTAATAAGAGCGGTTTATCAGAGGAGGAGTGGACTGGAGGAGAGGGGAGGTGTGGTGATACTGAGAGGAGTGGAGGGAGGGGAAACTGAGGTCAGGATGTAACGAATGAGAGAAAAACAAAACAAAACAAAAAGTGGTTTATATCTGACTCAAACATGATGACTGTTTGGTGTTCTTCAGTCACTTGACCTTCTGAAAGGGGTCCTCAGATGGGGGAGGGAGGGATGTCAGATCTTTAGGAAGGGTCTCTGGAAGTAATGTGTCAGAGAAAGTGGAAAGAAGAGAGTGGACACAGAAAATAGGGAGGCTCTTGCTTTAGTTCAGATGGCGTTCTAGTGATGGTGCCAGTGCTGACAGACAGGAAAAGGTATGTTTAGAAGTGTAATTTTGAATTAGGACATGGAGGCACACACCTTTTATCCCAGCACTAGAGAGGCAGAGGCAGGCAGATCTCTGAGTTCAAGGCCAGCCTCATCTACATGGTGAGTTCTAGGCTAGCTAGGGCTGCATAGTAAGAGCCTCAGAAAAAAGAAAGAAGAGTTCAATTTTGAAAAAAACATTAGTTGTATTACTGACTACATAGTAATGTGAAGGAGGCAAAAGGATCATTAAAGGCATTAGAAGATTCCAGAGCACTGTAAAGGCGACACTGCCACCATCAGGTAATGGGGAACATGCACTGGCCCTGGTCTGCGTAAAGAGATACTGTGATGTTTTTCATTCTGAACTTACTGATTTTGAGGTGCTGAGAGTCCACGCAGAGATGAATTGGGGCTTATCCTGAACTGGTATTAGATGAAATTAGCTGGAGGTGAAGTTTGGATTGCTAAAGGGTTAAAGTTGGGGTGCTGCCTAGAAGGCAGTTGTAGTAGACTTAACATGAGAAGTGGAGCTGAAAGGAAGGAAGGAATCTTTTAAGGGGCTGTCTTATCCAAATGCCTTGATCACCATTAGAGCCTGGAGCATAGCTCAGCCATTATATACTATTAACCGTATTTCTGCAACTCAGAATTTGCCACTTAGAACTTTCAATAATAGTAACCATCTCCTCTGAAGCCATAGTCTTCTGTTGGTTGGTTTGGGGTCCTGAGTGCACTTGTCTCCTGTAGTTCTATGGCACCATCTCCTGGTACAGCCTTAATCAGCAACTTCAGAGGACCCTGGGGCAGCCACACCGAAGAGAGCAGACTAAGGAAAAGAACAGGATGAAGGTGGTTCAAACACTGATGAGACAGACACTGCTGAGGTTGCTGAGACCAGTCCCTCAGTCACGTCACTGTTTTCTAGGCAAAGACTGGCTGGCAGAGGCTGGCACACGTTTGGGAGGATGTTTTCCCTATTTTACTTTATAGATAAATAAGTTTCTGCTCTTTTTTTGGTGGTGGGGGGGCAGGGCAGGGTTTCTCTGTGTAGCCCTGGCTATCCTGAAACTGCTTTGTAGATCAGGCTGACCTCAAACTCAGAGATCAGCTGCCTCTGCCTCCTGAGTGCTGGGATTAAAGGAGTGCACCACCACTGCCTGGCATCTGCTTAATTTTTCAATTTAAAAATTATGTTTGTTTTGTATATGTGTGCACATGTACCGCAATGCATGTGTTTAGGTAAAAGGATAACTTGTGGGGGTTGGTTTTCTTTTTCTACCATGCAGGTCCCAGGGATTGAACTCAGGTCATCAGGCTTGGTGTCAAGCTCCTTTATTCTCTAAGCCACCTCACTGGGTCAACTCTGATAATTCCAATTTGTTGCACTCAAAATTGGGCCTACTGTATGATTCCTGCTAGGTCTGTTGGAGTTAGCCTCTTTCATTTCTGTGTCTGCTGCCATTTCTGTTTACATTCTGAGTAGAGTTCATACTTCTTATCTCCCCCACTTAGATATAATTACCCCCTTAGTGTGTGTGTGTGGGGGGGGCACCTTTTATTAACGCATTTCTTGGGTTGTTCGAGACAGCTTGTTGGGCCTTGTTCTTTTTTATTTGTTTGTTTTTGAGGTAGACCTTGTAGCCCAGATTAGCCTTGACCTTCAGCGCTTCTTCCTCTCCCGTGCTGGGGTTACAGGCCTGCACCATATATGCCTGGCTCTTGGTCGTTTCCTTCCTTCCTTTTGCTTGTTACTTTAAAACGCACCTCTTCCTCCAACAGATACGGGTTTAGAGTGTCCAGTGTGCAAAGAAGACTACACGGTGGAAGAGAAGGTCCGGCAGTTACCCTGCAACCACTTCTTTCACAGCAGCTGCATCGTGCCGTGGTTAGAACTGGTGAGTACAGCTGCCTCTGCTCTGTGGCTAGCGGCCACCTGCCAAGTTACCTGTTGGCTGGGGTGAGCTGGCTCAGAGTCAAGAAGGAATTGCAGTTCAGAGAGCCAAACAAATCAGATGTTAGCCTCCCTGGCTGGCTCCTAGTGTCGTCTACGTTGTTTTGTTCAAATTATCCCTGCAGTGCTTCTGACCAGAGGGGAGTATACTCTGGCACACAGGCCTCAGTGGCATGCCAGCAGGTCTTGTAAATAAAGTGTTTCTGAAACACATTTAACAGACTGTGGCTGTCCTGTACTAGCTGGGCAGGGTTGAAGAGTTGTACCGGAATTGATGTAGCCTGCAAAGCCTTGAACACTTATTCTCTGTCCCCTTAAAGATTTAATTTAAAATTTATAATCCTGTATATGTGTGTGAGGTGGGAATGGATATGTACACATGAGTACAGATGCCCTCAAAGGCTAGAAGAAGGTATTGGATTCCCTGGAGCTTGGGTTACAGACAGTTGCAACACATGGGTGTTGGGAACTGAACTCAGTCCTCTACAAGAGCAGTGCATGCTTTTAACCACTGAGCATCTCTCCAGCCCCTCTCTGCCCCTTTAAAGAAAGTTTGCTTAGCCTCATCTAGAGTCCATGGGGAAATGATTGATAGTTACCTTTCTGTTATAATTCAGGTCACTGTTAGCAATTAATTTTGTTTGCTGTTATGTGTTAGTTTATTAACTTCTTGGCTTAAAATTGTGTCTATTCTGCTTAAAATTCTATCCGGGAGATATCCTGGTATGGTATCTTTCTCATTGTCAACTCGTTATTTATTTTATTGTTTTGGTGGTACTAGAGGTTGAACCTAGGGCCTTGTGAATGCTAGGCAGGGTCCCTTCAATCATAATTGGGGGTGAAGTGGCATGTGGGTACACAGGCTGTGTGTGCATGGGGAGAGGCCAGAGGTCAACTTTAGAGGTCGTTCCTTAAGAAGTGTTCATTTTGATTCTTGAGATGGTGTCTCTGGCTGGTTGACCTGGGACTCGACACATGAGGCTAGGCTAGCTGGCCACAAACCCCAGGGGTCTGTGTTTCTGCCTCCCCAGCGATGGGATTACAAACATCTGTCACTGGCGTTTTATATGGGTTACATGTGACCCGTTACATGGGCTCTGGACTTGTTTGTAACTATTTTACTGACTGAGCCATCTCCCCAGCTTGATTTGGGGGTTTCTTGAGTGTTTGGTAGTCCCAGCTTCTCGGGCCGTGCTGTTGACATGGACTGATATCATTTTGTTTCAGCATGACACATGCCCAGTATGTAGGAAGAGCTTAAATGGTGAGGACTCTACTCGGCAAACCCAGAGCTCTGAGGCCTCTGCAAGCAACAGATTTAGCAATGACAGCCAGCTCCATGACCGATGGACTTTCTGAGACTAAAGACCACACCTGAACCAGGGCTGCCTGTGTTAGTCTTCTTATCATAGCTGTAAGTTGTTTCAAAACTACACAAACAAACAAACAAAATAATAGATGGATTTAGGAATCATGTAAGAAACCCCAACCCATAATATTAATGCAATGAGTGTATTTCTCTAAATTTAAAGTTAGGACCTACAGGTGGAATTGTATCTACAACCAAATGCCTCCTGTTCCTGAATTCAGAGTGATACTTTTCTAAGTGTGAAACTTAATTATGTCAGTTTGCTCCTGCCTGAGTAGAATCGGTTCCTTCAAGTCCAGCTCGGGTTCTGCTGTCATGTTGTCTGTAATGGACATCTCTACCTCCTCTTCCAATCTCTAGCCCATCAGTGGGGATTTTGCAGCAAATACAGAGGAGCCAGAGCCCTAAGGTCTTGTTGTATGACGTCTTTTTGTCTTAATTGTACAAGAGTACCTACTCTTGGCCATTAGCAAGGTAAGAAGAACTCAGGAGTCTGAGACTCTAATACTGTTTGTCTTGATCTTCAGAGAGCAACTCAAGGAAATTACAGGGGGAAAGAAGAGTGACCTGCCATCTACACTTTGATTTCCTTAGGTTAATTCAGGAAGTGCAGTTTCCCTAAGAACCAACATGGCATGGCTTAGTCTTGGGTTGGAAGAAATCTGATTTTGGTTCCTTTTTGGCAATAAGTTGGGCAGCATATAGACACAGAAGAGAGATGTTGGAAATTTTTACTACTGAGATGTTTTTAATGACCCTCAACTCATTGTTTACTGTCTTTCATACTAGGGACCTTACAATAATTTCCCTCATAAAAATAGGATTATTTTATTAAGTGCTTCTACACCAGTTCACTTTTTTGGTAATTCATTGTTATTTAGGAATTGAAATTTTACGTTGTCTTGTTTAAGTTTGTAAAGCCCATTTTTCATGTGGGAAGCTTTTCCTGTTTTGTTCAGTTCTAGCTATAGTTCTGATCTATCAATCTGATCAATGTAATCATGCCCAAAACAACTTAGTCTGGGAAAGGGAGACCTTGCTTGAAGTTCTAACAGTGCCCATACACATACTCTGTACATGTTTAAAGCGGAATAAATGGAGATTGTTGAGAATGCTGTTGGACTTGAGTATCTCAGAAGGACATAATGGGGACATCTATCGGCTGTTGGTGTCCCGCAACGGGCACTGAAGGTATGCAGATGACTGCGTTGTAGCATAACACCAGCATTTCAGAGTTCATGACAATCAGAACAAGGTCACTACAGTTTGGGTTTGGTGTGTCTCTTTCTTGGCTAGGAGTCCTTCCCCAATTTTTGATGACTTACATTCTGGGAGTGAGTGTGTGGATTAAAGATGTCTTTGTATTTGGTTAGAGGATGAAGAAGTTAGGGAGGGAAAAGAAAATAGTGAGAGAGTGGCCGGCCCCTAAAGGTTGTAGTCAGAGTATGATTCAAAAGCCAGTTCTGGTGGCATGGGCCCTGTAATCCCAGCTGTTTGGAAGGCTGAAGCAGGAGAGTCACAGTTTAAAGGTTTGCCTGGGCTACATAGTTCAAAGCCTGCTTAGACCACTTAGTGAGATTCTATCTCAAAATAAAAATATAAAAAGAGGCTAGGGATATTGATTAGCATAGAACACTTGCTTGGTTTATATAATGACCTAGGTTCAATCCCTAGTATTTCCAGAATGTGTGCTTCGTGTGTACACATGCATACACACATACATAATTTAAATAGCTTAGAGGAAATGAAAAATATTTTCTTATATCCTTTCATGCCCTGCCTTCGTAGTGGATGTTTCTTCAGGGATGGGGTGGGGAGGTGGAGTGATCTGTTTATTGTGGTTAGGCCATAAATGTAGCCTGAAAATACACAATGACTTTGGATTGGAAGGAGAATCAGAGGAAATAAGAATTCTGTTATGAATATTTGGTCATTAACCTGGAGGAAGCTGTATTGAAGCTGGAACATGTAGATGTAACCAACCTTCTTATTAAGTAAGAAACACAGAACCAATGCAAAGAAGAAAGCCAAGAGGTCAGAGCTAAGAGCTAAAACCTTACCCTTCCTCCTGCGGTGGTCCTACTTCTCCGAACAAGAGCTACTTTCTGTGTTAAAGTCCTTATATAGAATTTCTGTTCTGCCTTCTCATTGGTTGTAAACCCAATCACATGACCGCCTCATCACGGCCTGTCTGTATAGGCCTCCAGGTTTTCCATGATTGGTATTGAGATTAAAGGCATGTGTATCCAATAATGGCTGTATCCCTGAACACACACAGACTTACCTAGCTCTGCCTACCAAGTGCTGGGATTACAAGCGTACGCCACCACTGCCCTGCTTTCCTATGGCTTGCTAATAGCTCTGACCCCCGGGCAACTTTATTTATTAACATACAAATAACATTTTAATACAAATAAAATATCACCATAGGAACACATTCCAGTTTTCGAACAAACACTTGTCTCAGAAAGATGATAGTAGCTCCGGAGTGTTGGTCTGCTCACTGTGTCCAGAAATGCCAAGACAGGCAGTTTGTGTTTCCTGTGAAACACAGAACACAAACACAGTTTGTTACACCTGGGAAGCTAGAACTAGAAATTAATTTACACAATATGCAAACAAATGCTCTAATTCATGGTATAGTACACAGACAACATTACTTTCATTTTTTGTGGTCTCTTGAGAGAGGACAGAAGGCATTTTGCTGTCTCCCAGACTTGTCCACTCAGTTTTTAGTGTTCCTATTATAGCAGGTACCGCAGACTTCTGGGCTAGTTTATCTAAGGAATTAGGATACTTCAGACAAACAGAACTGATTGGATGATAGAGAAATAGATTACACTAAATCACAAATTGGCTTGTGCAGTCCCGGTATCTTTAGTGTGAAGTCCAGGAGAGCAGTGAGTGCAGTTCTAGTCAAGTCTGTAGGCCTGCACACCAGAAAAGCCTCCACAGGCCCGAGGAAGCTGATGAGTTCCAGCGCCACAGGCAGGGAAGACAGATCTCCCAACTTAGACATTTGGATAGAAGGAGTTAAAGCATCCCTAACTTGAGAGAGAATAGCCTTTTTATTTAATTCAGGCCCTCAATTGTTTGGGCTTCGGAATAATATGTTGTTTTTCAGCCAACTGAGTCAAATGTTAATTTTATTCAAAAACACCTTCACAGAAACACTGAGAGTAATGTTTGACTGAATATGTGGGCCTCCTGCAACCTAGTCAGATTGCCACTTAGACTTGACCATCGCAAGGATGGAACATAGAAATGATGCATGGAGAGATTTTCATGCCATGTGAGCAAAAGTTAATTCCTGGTAAATAAATGTCTACATTGGCTTAGAGACTACAGTGGGATGGTATATAGTATCTGGACATAGTTTAACCTGAAGTAAGAGATGCCGCCCATTCTAGGAGAGAAGAGAAGAAACATTTTATATTCTTTGAACTAACACCAGAATGTGAGCTGGGATTAAAAGCTTATTTTCATAAAGCTTTACCCTTAAATGTAGTGTCTTAGTTTCATTTCTGCTGCTGTGATAAACATCCCACAAAAAGCTTAGGGGAGAAGTGGTTTGTTTGGCTTGTATTCCAGCTTGCAGTCATGTGGGGAAAAGGCAGGGCTTGAAGCAGCTAGTCACATCCTTAGTTGAGCAGAGAGAGAATACAAGCATGCATGCCTGCTTGTCTAGTTCCCTCAGCCCCCATTTCACTCATACAGTTCAGTGTCCAGTCCATGAAATGTGCCATTCATGTTCAGAATGGTCTTCCCACCTCAATCAAGAAATAAAAAAAAAATTCCTTACAGGAATGTCCACATGCCAACCTAATCTAAGTAATCCCTCATTGAGAGTCTTTTCTCAGGTGATTCTTGGTTGTGAAAAGCTGTCAGTTCAAAATGAAGCATGAGACCTTTACATTAATATAAAATGCCTTACCCTTTGAATTCTATGCAGAGCTCAACAGATTTTTCTTATTCTGATTTTTGCCTGCTCTTTATTGATAGAAATACATATTTCTCTGTATTTGTATATATACAGATATTCTTATCTGCTGATTTGAAACAGTTACTTGTACATTCAGAGCATGATAGACTTGAAAGATGGAAGACTATGGTCTAGAGTCTTGCTACCCTTGCAGGGACTAATTGCCCTTCATATTTTTCAGACAGCTGAGTCAGGTCTGTTGTTTTAGTGCCTTTTCTATTGCCTTGACAAAACACCATGACCAAGGCAACTTATAAAAGAAAGCATTTAATTTGGGGCACATGGTTTCAGAGAGTTAGAGTCCATCATGATGGGGATCATGGCAGCAAGCAGCAGATGTGACCCTGGGGCAGTAGCTGAGAGCTTCTGTTTTTATCCAAAATCAGGAGGCAGAGAGAGCTAACTGGGAATGCCTGGGCTTTTGAAATCTCAAAGCCCACCTCCAGTGACACTCGCCTTCAATAAGGCCATATTTCTAAATCCTTCCTGAAATTTCCACCAACTGAGGACCAAGAATTCAAATATATGAGCCATAGGGGCCATTCTCACTCAAACCACCATAGTTAGTTTGGCCAGATGGAGTTAAAGGGTGTTGTGGAGTGCGGAGAAATGGACACTTAGCCTTATTTCCCGAGCCTTTAAAGCGTCAGGGCTGAGGAGCTGTACGGAATGAAAAGGAATGACGTGGTGTTTAAAATTAATTTTCCCCAGAGTTCCCATTTCCAATTCTTTGAAATGTTGAGAAGCTGGAAGACTCTAGGATAACATGCCTCTCTTGCTATTTGTAACTTTTTGGCCCTTTCCTTACAATAATGGTTTAATTTAATTTTTAGAAAAAATAATTCCTAGGCTGGAGAGATGGCTTAGGGGTTAAGACCTCATATGCTCTAGTCCCTGTGCAAAGGTGACACACACATTTGTGAAGCATTCCATATTTTTAAGGGAAGCACACTCACCCATCCACCCACCCACCAGCAGCAGCAGCAGCAACAATAACAACAACAAAATAACAGGAATCAACAACCACTGGTCATTGATATCCCTCAATATCAAAGGACTCAATTGCCCTATAAAAAGACACAGACTAGCCTGATGGTGGTAAGGGTTACACAGAGAAACCCTGTCTTGCAAAACAAAAACAAACAGACACAGACTATTCAGAAAGGATTCGAAAACAGGATCCATCTGTCTGCTGTATCCAAGAAACATACCACAACATCAAGGATAGACATTAGCTCAGGGTAAAGGTTTGGGAAAAGATATTATATGCAAATGAACCCAAGAAATGAGCTGGTGTAGCCAATTTAATATCTAAAATAGACTTCAAACCAAAATTAATCAAAAGAGATAGAAAAGGAAAAATCCACTAAGATGCCATTTCAATTTTTTTTTTTTTTTTTTGGTTTCAAGACAGAGTTTCTTTGTGTAACAACTACAAACTCATGGAAACAGAGCAACTCTCTTCTGAATGAAAAATGGGTCAAGACAGAAATAAAGAAATTAAAGACTTTCTAGAATTCAGTGAAAACAAATACGCAGCATACCCAAACTTAATGGGACCCAGTGAAAGTGGTGCTAAGAGGAAAGTTTGTAGCACTAAGTGCCTGCATTAAAAAATTGGAGAGGTCTCATACTAGCATCTTAAAAGCTCTAGAACAAAAAGAAGTAATCACAACCAAGGGTAGTAGATGGTAAGAAATAATCAAATTCAGGGTTAAAATCAGGAGGGAGAGATAGGTGGGGCTGGCAGGCAGAGAGAATAGATAGAAGGAGAGAAAAGAAAGAGAAGGAGCCAGAGAAGGAGGAAGACTTCCAGAGGCCAGCCACCCAGCTACACAGCAAGCCTCAGAGTAAGAGTAAGATTTACAGAATGGGGGGAAGCTCAGAGGTAAAAACCAGATGGGTTAATCCAAGTTAAGAAAAGCTGGCTAGAAACAAGCCAAGCTAAGGCCAGGCATTTATAAATAAGAATAAGCTTTCATATGATTTATTTGGGAGCTGGGTGGTGGGCTCCCCAAAAGAGTAAAAAATAAGCAACAACATTTTGGCATACCAGTGTGGTGCTCAAATTTCCATAGTGCCTGAGAAAGCTTTAAAAAGAAGAAGAAGAAGAAGACATGGCTTCTTAAAGAGTTTCAGCCTGCTGGCCAGCCCTTGAGCAGCCAGTACATTAAGTAGGAACAAAAACCTAAGTAAAAATGCCTGCCACAGCACAAACATTAGCATTCTATAGCTCTAGGGAGGTTGAATGCAGTCCCTGGCCAGACAAACCTCCGACAGCCTGAGAGTTTCACGCTTGGTTTTCAAGACCCAAGAAGCAGGCGGAGCCAGCTGAGAGCTGTGTACAGAGCATCTAGGTGTGGGAGTCTGTGTGTTCATCCATTCAAAGAAGGCTGAAGACAAGAGAGGTCTAGACAGAAAAACCTCTGAACAGGTTACAGTGTGTTTAACAGTGTGCATAGGCTTAAGAAAGGAAAAAAGGGTATAATCATAGAAAGAAATGAATAGTTTAAAAACAATAATAAAGTCTTTAAAGAGAGAGTAAAAGTAATATAAAAGAAAAAAAGCCACGTAAGATGGGAAATACTCAGGGAGTCCTGATCCTGTATGTTATTGTATTGATTTTGAATTTTTTGATTGTTGAAAAGCAAAGGAATTGGAAGAGGGACTGTTGAAGTAAATCAGTCTATATACTTTAGGAAAAACTTAACTTTTAAAAAGTCAAAAAATATACTTGTCGGGCTGGAGAGATGGCTCAGAGGTTAAGAGCACTGACTGCTCTTCCAGAAACCCTGAGTTCAATTCCCAGCAACCACATGGTGGCTCACAATCATCTGTAATGAGATCTGGTGTCCTCTTCTGTGTACATAATAAATATAAATAAATCTTAAAAAAAAGACTTTAAAAAAATATACTTGTCAAAAGGAAATAAAAAAATGCTTTGGAGTTTTGTTCTCACAGGAGATGAAAGGCTGTGAATTCCTTCAGGGTAAATATGGATCAGGTTTGGTCAGGCAAGACCTCCTGAAACTTGACAGGTGAATTTTATTTAATCAAACACATCTTTTCATCATTAAACAAATGTTCCAGAGCATAAGCAAAAGTAACACACCTTAAAATAATATTGTACAATAAGATAAACATGCTTGTGATGGCTATTCTTGGTTATCAACTTGACTACATCTGGAATTAACTAAAATCTGAAAATGAAGGGCACACCAGTGAGGGCTTTTTCTTAATTAAATCACTTGGTGTGGGACGACCCACCTTTAATCTGGATCTTTTGAGGTGGGAAGATCCACTTTTAGTCTGGGCTACACCTGGTAGCAGCCTGTATAAAAGACAGGGAAGAAGTCTTTTGCTCTTTGCCTGCTTGTCCTTGCTCTTGATGGCAAGTTCATTCCTTCACTGGCATTAGTGCCTTACTTCTTCTGGATTCCAGCGTATAATGAAGACCAGCTGAGACACCCAGCCTGGTAGACTGAGCAACTACTGGATTCCTGGCTTTTCCATTGGACAGCTATTATTGGACTAGCAGGACCCCAGACTGTCGGCTACTCTAATAATCACATATATGTACACACAATGTATTATATGAATACATATGAGTTATTATGTATTATTTATATGAATATGTACATATGTGTAAATATTTATTCTACCAGTTCTGTTCCTCGAATGAACCCTGATGAATACAGTGCTGTTTGTGAGATTAATGGAGATTTGAAAGTTGGGTAAGACTACTCTTGGAGTTCCCAGAATGATTCTCCAAAGTTCTGTGTATGGAGCTGGGTAAAGATCGAATGGAATGGTGTCATTCCTGTGGGAGAAAATTCTGGCTGGCACTAATGCCCTTCTCTGGGCACACAGGCCGGGTACTGCAAGGCTGCCCAGGGTTTGTAATGGAAATCAGAATACAGTATGCGTGACTAGGGCATATTCCAGGTCCAAGTGTGGCTCTCGGCTGAGCGAGAAGATGTCCCAGACAAGAGGAACTGCAGACATTCAAGTTTGAGGTTGGTTGGTTTGTTTGTTTTTAACATACAAATTTTTTTGTGTGACAAATTAGATGGTGTCCACATAAACGAAGCATCTGTTGTAGCTTTTCCTTCTCACTAAGACCCTTAGGCCTATGGATCATGGGTGTGGCTTGTTGTGGTTATGTTTTCTAATCAGAAGTACAGCTGTTTTTTTTGTTTTTATTTTTGTTTGGTTTGGGTTTTTTGACACAGGGTTTCTCTGTGTAACAGTCCTGGCTGTCCTGGAACTCGCTCTCACAGAGATCCATCTGCCTTTGCCTCCTGAGTGCTCAAATTAAAGGCATGTGCCACCACTGCCCAGCAGTAGTACAGTTTTTAATACCTAAAATTTATTAGAAATCCTCCCAACAAGAAGAGAGATAGCTATATTTCTAGCAATTTTTGATGAATGAATATGGCAAAAGGCTGCAGTGATTTCTGATTTTAAATCAATTTGTTTTTGTTATATCCAGTTACATATATATGTGTGTATATTTTATTAGTTATGTCCAGTTACATATATATGTATACATGTACGTATGTATATATGTATATACATGTAACTTGATATATATACATATATATCTAAGATATTTATTTGTACAGAAGAAAATGGCTTTGTAAGTTCTTTGTAATAGCTCAGTGGCTTCACAAGTTATGAATTATTCATACAGATTTTGGGGTTCATACATGGAAGTCCTTGGACTTACTTAAAATTGAAATTGATCGTGTGAACACACTTTAAAACCAAGACAATATTTCTAATTTCTGCTTAACTGAATCTTGAAATAAGTAGAATAAACAGATTCTTTAGACATTTGCTTTCTGGTTGCTCATTTATTCTGCTTAGTTCAAGACTTCTGAATGTCTTGATAGATGAGCAGAGACCACGTGTCTGGTGTATAGCTATGTGTGCACTCTGGTTGGTACAGCATGGTGTATGGAACCGTCCCTGTCATTGGTTGTGATGCTGAAGTCACTGAAGAGCTGAGTGGTCACAGAAGATCCTCTGGAGAGTCATTTTAATGTGAGCGTACAATGCAGTTAAAGCCACAAACAGTTAGAAAAGCTTACGGAGAATGTAATGTAGGGAGAGAGTTTTGGAGACTTTGGAGTCAGGATTCAGATGTCTCTGGGTTCCAAATCTAGTCTTATTTGATCCTCAGGAAAACACGGTAGTGATAGTCCCTTCACACACCTGTCTAACTGCAGGACAGGGATCTGATGCCCCTCTGGCTTCTTTGGGCACCAGGCATTCTTGTGCACACATGCAGACAAAGTGTTCAAACACATGAAATAAAAATAAGTTTCACTTGCCCAAAGACATGCAGCTCTCAGTTGCAGCACCAGAATTTGGATCCAGGTTTTACACTTCAAGCCTAGTGTTTTTATCTCTAGAGGACACAGAGTCAGAAATCTTTAGTTTGAAATTCAAGACCACCCTATTAAAGACATTGCTGTAACATGTCGGCCTTGGGTCTTGGTCTCTGTAAATCTTAGTTTCCACATTGGGTAGGTCGGTGTCAAAAAGATGACAGGTGAGATGTCTATTTGATGGCTTTTCACTTAGCTCCACCCGACTGTCTCTTTCTATCTTTTCGTTCATGTCGTCCCTGCTGTTGGAAATAGCCTGCCCCTTGTTCTGCGTGTGACAAGGGTTATCTGTCCAAAGTCAAAGAGGGTCTGTGAGTTTAGGAACAAGAGAAGCCTGCAAATAACTGCTTTGAGCGTCTTTGAAAAAGACTAGTGACCAAAGAGGCTGTAGGTCCTTGTTGAAGGTAGACAGTTGCAGCCCGTAGTGTCCCTGGGCCGTGGGAGGGCCTCACCTCTTCTAGCAGTGTCAGCCTTGCTTTTTTGTTTGCCTTCCAAGTCAGTCACTGGACCTGGTTCTCCTGCTCCCTTTCCTCCCCAGTTTGCTTGTTTTGTCTTTTTTCCTTTGCAGTGTTAAACAAACAGTTCTTTTTTAAAATGGTATTTTCCTTTTTAAAGATTTATTTAGTGTGTGTGTGTGTGTGTGTGTGTGTGTGTGTGTGTGTGTGTGTGTACGTGCACATGCGTAGGTGCAAGTGCATTGGAGGCCAGAAGAGGGCATTTGGTGTCCTTCATCATTCTCTACCTATTCTTCTGAGGTAGGGTCTCACAGTTTCTCCACTAGGCTGGAACCCAGCAAGTCCCAGAAATCCTCCTGTCTCTGGCCCCTTGAAGCTGAGCTTATAGGTGTTTGTGGGAACTCTTGGCTTGTTACATGGGTCCTGAGAGCCAAACTCCAGTCTTTGTGATTGAACTCAACCACTAAGCCATGTCTCCAGGCCTGACGTTCTTCTTTAGCTTGCTTATTGGGGGCTGGTGAGATAGATCGGCAGCTAAAAGCACTTGCACAAGCCTGGCTTCCTAAGTTTGATCTCCAGACCTCACGGTAGGAGGAGAGAAGCAACTCCCAAGAGTTGTCCTCTGACCTACACACACACACACACACACACACACACACACACACACACACACGCACGCACGCACATCATACACACACATAAAATTGAAACTTGCTGATTTTACTGTGTTGCAGGGGAGACAAAACACTATTTTGTGGTATAAAGCAGACCTGGTGTTTAAAGATAGCACACTATCTTTATGTGGCCATCTGCAGAATGTTTTCTTTATTGGCACTGAGGTGGGAGAAGGCAGGCTCGTGCCGGCAGGAAGGAAGGGAGACCAAGAAGGAAGCCAGATGTCTACCAGATCCTTGGAATGATTTTATTTATTGGGGTCGGGGCACAGCACTCCCGTGGCGGTCAGAGGACAGTTTGTGGGAGTCAGTTCTGTCTTTACACCATGTGTGTGCAGAGGTTTGAGCTGAAGCTTGGCAGGCAAGCTCCTGTTCGTGGTTGAGCCATCTTGCTGGCCCTCCAGATTCTTGGATTACTTAGCATCTGTTCCTTGTACCATTCTTCTCTGTGTGCATTGTGGGATTTATCTTGCTGCACCTTCTTTTTGAGGTTTTATTCTTTATCACAAGGTGTATAGAGCTGTAGAAAGAAAATGGTTTGTATTATTACCTCACAGCTTAGACCATCATGACACAGAGTGTCTGATTTGAGAAGTCTCACCTGTCCTGAGATGTGTGTTTGATAGGCTTTCATGACTAGAGAGGGAAGGGGAAAATGTATGAACATAATGTCCATGTTGTGTGGAGGGCGCAGAGGGAAGCACAGGGGACCAGGACACTCCATCTTTAACCTCACATGAAAGAAAGCCTTATAACTTGGTCTCCTTTTGGAGCCCATGTAGTTTTCCTAGTGGCTTTACTCAGCAGGTCTGCATAAAGAGGATGATTGGATGACGGGCCTGAGGACCAGGTGTCTGGGATGGTCTGCACTTGGCTGTGCTGGGGGAGGTCATTAGCTCCACCCCTTGGTGTTCCTTTAAAAACCCTTTGGCAGACAGTCAGGGCCTGATGGATTAGGATCCAAGTCCTTTTGAGGTTATTCTGTATTTTCTATCTGTTTCTCTTCCCTCTATACTTCTAATATTTCCTGCTGCTCCTGCTCAAGAGTACCCTGGGGAAGAGTAGGGGTGGGATGGCCCCCTACAGTGTCTATGATATTGTGAAGGCCGACGAAAATGTGTGCATCTTTCTGCGGAACACTGCCTCTTCCATAATTCTACTAAGCCTTGGGTTGGAGGAAGGTGAAGACAAGGAAAGGCTAGACATGGCTACTCACACCTGTAATCCCAGCGGTCAGATGCCTGGGGTAGGGCTGCGAGTCGGAGGCCAGTCTCAATCTCTCTCCTACAGCTTCCTAACATAGCGAGTATATGATTTAGCTTTGTTGTGGTTTTTTTCTTCCTTTTGTGTGCCTTGAGCCCAGGAGAAACTAATTGAATTTAAAGTTTTGTTCTTGACTAGAAAAGAGAAGTAGGAGCTGAGACTTGCTGTTCTAGGATGAATCTGGAGTCAGAGGTAGTGGTGAGAGTGCAAGGCTGGACTCAGTTTCCCCTTTGAGTTTGTGCTGTGCCTGAAGAAATAACATTAACAAGAATCTAGTTTAACCCACTAGGGAAACTTGTATTCAGTATGTGTAAACAGTCAGACTGCTCCATCCTCACACACACACACACACACACACACACACACACACACACACACACATACACACCCATGTGGAAGCTGGCCTTTGACTGCCAAGGACAGAGACTTGCATCAGTTATTTGTTATGCAAAAGCCTAGTGACAAATTGTTCAATGTCCCAGTCTTTCAATACTCAGTATGGTCCTCCACTTTGTGGAGCAGCTGTGTTCAAACTCCACCTCAGCCCGGCCCTGTCTCCTGCCTTGTTCAGCTTTGTATAATAGAGACCTGTCGCCTGAACTGGAGTGCTGTGTCCACTGAGTGACTGGAGGCAGCATGTTTGTCTCCCAGCCTTTCCTAAGAGGACTGACCTCTTGCCCAGAGGACCGTCCTGTTCGTCTGTCTCCATGGAGACGCAGAGTTAGGAGACGAGTACCTTCAGACCACTTCCACCCACACACTGGTTTGTACTTTTCTGTAGAGAGCCAGGGCTTGGGGGGCATCTGTCCCTTCTTCCGAGCTTCCTTTCTGGACTTTCCCTCCTAGGAAATAGTTAACCTTGCAAGGACACAGACTCATAGTTTGGAGCGCTGCAGTCTCTTCTGGACATACCTTGAAGGGCCACCAGGCTGGTGACCATCACCCCCCAGGCCTTTGCTTGCGGGAAGCCTGAACTGAGAGTGCTGTCAATATGGCTGAAGCCAGGGTGCTGCTTCTGTCTCTGGCTTATCTCGGTGTGGTTCCCTGTTCCAGGTTCAAAAGAGAATCGTGTCAAATTCATAAGGATGTCAGAAGTCAGAGCTTCCTCTTGTGACATTTCCCACATGATCTCAAGGAGTGCCTGGCAGCACAGTTCACTTCCTGAATAAGTAGTGTTGGCATCTGTGGGCTGTGATGATAGGCTTAAGCTTAGTAGATGAATACAGAATCTAGCCTTCAGCAGATACAGAAATGCACATAGACCTCGGAGGAGCTCTAGAGTTTTGACAGAAAGGTGAAACAGCTTACCTTGGACTTGGGTTTCCCTAGATTTCATTCATTATAAACAGTCTTCTGTAACGGATCAAGTAATAAAGTTACAATCTTGAGTGCTGGAATAGAGCTGGAGCTTCTGTCGTTGCCTCTGAGTGAGCACTGAGGACGAGTTGTCAGAGGACAGCAATAATGCCACCTCCTGAAAGTCTGTGGAGGTTGATGCCAGCACAAGGCCTGGTACGTGCTAAGCACTCAGTACACGGTAGGCATGGTTTATTAATGCCACCTGTTGCCTATCTGCTCTTACCTTCCAAAAGGAACCTATTTCCTCAGGTGACAGTCCTATGTGCTGAATGCTTGAATAGCCGTCCCTGTCATCTCAAGTAGAAACACTTGGGGTGCGTTAGGAAACTAGGTATAAGGAGCAAGGACTGTTGCACCCCGTTCTGTTGTCCAGCGCTTGGCACTGTGCTCAGGATGCACAGTGAGTGTTCATTAAATGAATGAAGAGGGGCAGGGGAGTAGCCACTCCTGCAGTTTAACTGGAGCGGGGTGGCCAAATAAATACAATGAAATTGCCTAGGGCAGTGGTTCTCAGCCTTCCTAACGCTGTGACCCTTTAATACAGTTCCCCATGTTGTGGTGACCTCCAAACATAAAAGTATTTTGTTGCTACTTCATAACTGTAATTTTGCTACTGCTGTGAATTGTAATTAAATTTCTGATATGCGGGATAACTGATAGGTGACTCCCAAAGGGGTTGTGACCCACAGGTTGAGAGCTGATGGGCTAGAGCCTCATACTAAGCTAACATGATTTAGACTTTGTAGACATTGAGAAGCCATTAATTCTTTGAGTGACGGCATAGAACATACAAGCTAGCCTTCTAGATAAATCTGCTGGCAATCTAGAGTGGATTGGGACAATACTTAGTTGGTGGCCCATTTATTGAACAGTAGATCCTGTAGCAAGTGTGAAAGAGAAAATGTTGGCAATCTGAAGGACCTCGCTTGTTAAAGTTGAGAGGAATGTTTTAACTATGCTGTGAGAAAGACTTGGAAAACATTTGAAAAGAAAATAATAAATGTAGGGAAAACTTGTAGTAACTTACTAGATGAGTGAAGAAAACGAGGAACCAGGGTTTTGACTGAGTCATGGACAGATGCTAGTCTCAGGAAGACAAGTTTGAGGAGATGGGAGTGCTGCCAGGAAGTGGCCCAGCTGTTAGTGGGGGTGTTTGGTTAGAACATTGGAGAGGAGGTAGAGCTGGAGAAGGTGATTGGTGGGTCACTTGCAAAATGCAGGTTTAAATCAGAGTGGATGCAAACTCAGGGGAAGGTAGAGAAGGTAGACTAGGTGAGGACTTAGGTTAGATTGATGGGAGGAGGAAATAGAGGCAAAATAAATGAGAAACAAGTCAGAACAGTCGCAGAAGCCAGCGGAGAGGATGTCAGTGGAAGAAAGAACGTTAGAAGGGCCGAGTGATGGGCCATATAGGCAGGTAGCAGCCAGCAAGACAAGAAGAAAATATAGATCAGACTGGAATGAAGTGGAACAGTGGAATGATTAGCACCATGGAAGAGAACAGGAATGTTTGCTAAAAGGCCTGCCTCTCAGAGTTTTATTTACATGGGTGCAGAGCTAAGATAGTGTTTGTCTACTGACATGGTCTAGCTGTGTAGCCCAGGCCCCAAACTTAGGATCAGTCTTGGTTCCCTGAATGGTGAGGTTACAGGTATGTGCCACCATGCTGGGTTGATGGATTCTTTAAACAAATTGTATGAGGCTGGCATGTGGTTCAGTGGCAAAGTACTGGCTTAGCATGTTCTATGTCCTGGGTTCAAGGTTTAGCATGGAGAAGAGTTCATACAGTCAGCAAGCTATTTAAAGCTTTTTATGTCCAACAGTGCCTCTCTTCTCACATATATTGGTAATTTGGCTGGGTGTAGAATTCCAGATAAAAGATAATATTTTTTCACAGAATTCTGAAGGCTCCATCTTAGATGGGCGCTTCATAAAGCTTGGCTAGAGTCATCACATTTAGGTTTACTGGGGTGGTAAGGGAGCAGAGGAGGTGAGCACACCATGAAGAACACGGGCAGAGATCAGAAGCCTTGCTCCCTTGGTGAGCTTAAGACCCAGAATGACTATTTTGGGTCCTCACAACTTTCTGACTTCTGATTCTAGAAAACTGAGCTCATGGGGGCTATCCACACTTTTTGCTTTATTTTTCTGTTTTAATCCAGTAGCTTGAATAGATACATTTCTTCGAGCTGAATGCTTCTTAGGGCAATCACCCATTTTATTTTAAAACCATCTCTATGTATTTGAGAAAATATACACGGCCTCTTCTCTGGGAGAACTCCAGAGTAGGCATCAAAAGGCCTGAGTTATAGACCTGTATTTTTACTAGCCCAGTCAATGAGTGGCATTGACTAAATCTCTTCACCTCCTGATGACTCAGTCTTCTAATGAGAATGCAAGGGCCATTCTAGAAAGATGCTGAATAGTAATGACAAAGATGAGATTACCTTTGTAAAGATACTTTGAAGAAAGGTTTGACATAAGGTGTATCAGCTGGTGGGGTGCTGGGAGAGGACTGGGTAATAGGAAGGAATGATGCCAAGGGGGTTGCTCGCTAGGACTTCACATTGCTACTGGAAACTCCCACTGTCAGCCCTGCTCGCTGCTCCTCTGGTGACATTTGGTTATTAGGGACTTACCTGTGACTAGAACAGAGAAAAAATGACCATGGATGTGGATTTCTGGCCTCTGGCTTCTGGCACAGCACTGGTAGGTCCCACTGTCGGATGGTGTGGCTTGTTCTATGGTGAACACCAGCTGAGATGACTGTTCAGTGATGCCATCTGTCCCAGGATCCCTTTTAACCCTTAGCTGTTCTAAGCTGGTCTCAGGGGAGCAGTCCCAAGACCTATCTTTGCACCAGAAGAGCATTAGTCCCTCAGCTTCATCCTTCTTGTGCCACAGAGTACAGGTGAAGTCCAGTTGCCCTCCTTTCTGGGATGCTGAGCTGGTGACATAGATGCACCCTGGAACAGAAATGCAGAAGTTACCCTTGAGAAGCCAGGGAGAGTTCCTTAAGTCACACCTAGCTGGTCCCTGTCAGTAGAGTACAGTCTGACATTGACAGTGGCAGATGGGACACACAACTTCTAGTTGTCCCTGTGACAGTAAGCACATTGCCTGCCTCCTCTAATTCTCCTGGGAGGTGAGACTTAGACCAGATACATACATGTGAAACTTCTACTCCGTGATGCTGCGCGGGTGTGTGTGTGTGTGTGTGTGTGTGTGTGTGTGTGTGTGTGTGTCTTAGTTACTGTTCTATTGCTGTGACAAAGCACCGTGACCAAGGCAACTTATAAAAGAAACCGTTGAATTTGTCAGGGCGGGTTAGGGTCCATGATGGCAGAGTGAAGGCCTGGTGTCAGGAACAGCTGAGAACTCACATCTCAGACCACAAAGCAGGAGAGAGAGCACACAGAACGGTAAGAGGCTTTGGAACCTCAAGCCTGCCCCAGGGACAAATCTCCAACAGGGCCACACGGCCTAATCCTTCCCAAATAGCCACTAATGGGGACCAAGTATTCCAGTGCCAAGACTTACTTAGGACATCTTGTTCAAACCATCAGAGCTCTGCTCTCAATGCTCTCAAGTGCGTAGCCCAGTGTAAAGATCAGCAAAATACAAGCCAGGCGGTGATGGTGCACACCCTTAGTCCTGGCAGAGGCAGAGGCAGGTGGATCTCTCTGAGTTCGCGGCCAGCCTGGTCTATAGAGTAAGTTCCAGGACAGCCAGGGCAACACAGAGAAATCCTGTCTCGAAAAATCAAGTAATAATAGTGATACTGATAATAATAATAGATAAAATAAATTTTTAAAAGATTAGCAGAATACTGCACTCCAGATTCCAGGTAGTAACAGAGCAGCCATGGCTAGAGGCAAGATGTGCAACCCCCACTTGGTAGTGGCGGAGGCAGTGATGGTGATGTTCCTGGGTCTGGAGTAGAGTGAATGAGTCGGGGCAGGGGAGGCCCTATACCAATGGGGAGAATGTGATGGCAGGGCAAAAATCCATTCTTGTATGAATGCAAACAGTTCTGAAATGTTTTTCTACTTTGGGGAGAGAAATCAGTTGTACATCATGAAGTCAAATGCCTGGGAAGGCCTTAGTTGAAATCTGCAGGAAGTAAGGAGAGAAATGAAACGGTGTGGGCATAAGCTCCAGGAAAGGTAAGACAGATCAGTGCCAGGAGAGGGTCTCGGGCATATTTTTAAGCCAAAGCTCAGAAGCAATAAAGCCTCAAAAACTACCCTCGTGGTATGATTCTACCAGTGTAGCTGTGGCCAGGCAAGCCCTGAAGAAACCCTTCAAGGACAAACAAGCCCCCCGAAAAGAAAGGTTGGGGGAATGTAACAGCCTCTAGCCATGGCTGCCCTGTTACTACCTGGAATCTGGAGTGCAGTATTCTGCTAATCTTTTAAATATGGGTTTCTACCTTGTCCAAAGGAGCCCCAGGAGGAGCAAGGCTGAGCAGCAGTCTGCAGAAAGGAAGGATTAGAGGAGTTGGTTGAGGGTGGGAAGGAAGAAGGCGTGAAGGTTGACTTCTCAGTGGAAGACAGGAGCATGGCGGCCACCAAGCAGTTCTCTCGGGGCATCTGTGTGGTGGTGGAATACCGGGGGCCTCGCCTGGTTCACTGACACCAAAAGTCAAGGGGCTGTGTGTGCAGAGGATCCCTCCAGGAGTTGCTACGTGTTAGTGTACTGTTTTCAGCGTCTGAGCAGAAGCCACTGCGTGGATGCTGCCGGAGCTACGGATCCCCTGGGGAAACTAGTCACAGCCAGTGTAGGAACTGCCAAATGGAGCTGTGTGCCCCATGTCACAGTGCGGTCCGGAGGGTTTCCGGCACAGTGATGGCGCTGCTGCCAGGCTGTGTGGAAGCCCGCTCATGGATGAAGCATTAGCTGTTGCTTTGTCCTCGTAGCCATCTCCCTTCTTCAAAGGACGAAGACCCAAAGGGAAAAGATGGTTTTCATGCATGAGTGCGGAGTGTGTGTGTGTGTGTGCAGGCCAAAGGACAGCCTCGGTGGCATCTTCAAGAACACTTTACCTACTTTGAGACAGGGTCTCTGTCTAGATTGCCCGGTCAGCAAGCCCAAAGGACCCTCCTGTCTCTACCTCCCCAGTGCTGGAATTACAGTGCGTGTCACCATCCCTGGCATTGTTTGGCTAGTACTTTACCAATTAAGTGGTCTTCCCAGCACAGGTTTTTTTTTTTTTTCTTTTTAAATATGATCTTAGAAAATTAAGCTGCATTAAATTTTTAAAAAATATTTGTTCATTTTATGTATATGAGTGTTTTGCCTGCATGTGTCTATATGTACCATGTACATACCTGGTGTCTAAGGAGGATAGAAGAGGGTGGTGGACCCCTGGAATTGGAGTTATGGATGGTTGTGAATCATGATGTGGTTGCTGGGAATTGAACCGGGTCCTCTGCAGGAGCAGCCAGTGCTCTTAACTACTGAGCCATCTCCAGCCCTGCAGCTGCTTTAAAGAAGTATATCTACATGCCTTTGCACTCTAGTGTTTGTAAGTGTTGTGCAGGTTTCCAAAGATAGATTTGAATGGATGGTCTTACGTTATCAGAAATCTCATATCCTGATTACGTTATACACTGTTTGATTCATAAGCCAGATGTTCTATTTCCCTTTCATGTCAGACTTGGCACAGGTTTTAGAGGAAGGATCAGACATGAATGAGGATGCTCCAAGTCAGCGCCTGTGAAAGCTCGAACCCCTGTGCCGCAGGATCAAAAGTAGGTGGTTGTGATGGAGCACTGCCTCTGTGGCCTTAACGGGATGTGTCCAAGCACTTGCTCTCCTTACACCTTGACGGGCACATGTCAAAGTGTATGGCTACATATTCTTAAAGGTTTCTAAGGAAGTCGGTCTTCCCTTTCACTGTTTTAATGTTTAAAGGCCCCGTGGTCTGAGGGCACCAGGTGGGCACAGATCTCTTCTTTCACAGGATGCAGCTTTTCCTGGCACCACAGACCATCGGGGTGGGTAAAGCAGGCAGGGAAGTGCTGCTTCCCTGATACACTGAGTGTATTTAAATCTACCTACCTACCTACCTACCTACCTACCTACCTACCTGTCTAATCTATCTCCACAAAATAAACAATTACTACCAAACTCTGCACTTACTATAATTGAGGGAGCTTATGGGTTCCTGTGTGTGCCTGAAAGAATCAGGGAATCTTCACAGAGAAATCAGCACTTGTGTTGAGACTTTTCCCTACAAGAAAATTTGCACAGAGAACACCCTTCCCCTGAGCCCCCAATTCTCCTAATGGCCGTCTCTGTCCTGGAACCTATTCTCACCACCACATTGGAAGTCCACAATTGCCAGCAGGATGGCCAGGGCACAACAGCTCCGGGCAGGTGACATCAGGATTTGCATGTTGTCAGCAACCCCAGAAATTCCACGTAAATGTTGGCTTTGCCAGTCTGTGGTCCCACACCTGAAAGCACAGAGACACATTAAATGAAGCCTCCTAGACCTCTAAGACTGTCTCCCTGTTTTAGGCTCAAAGTGTCATGGAGATGAAGAGAGCTTCAAGGTACAGAGGGTTTGGAAGTGATATAAAAAGATCAAGTGAGCCGGGCGGTGGTGGCGCATGCCTTTAATCCCAGCACTTGGGAGGCAGAGGCAGGCGGATCTCTGTGAGTTCGAGGCCAGCCTGGGCTACCAAGTGAGTTCCAGGAAAGGCGCAAAGCTACACAGAGAAACCCTGTCTCGAAAAACCAAAAAAAAAAAAAAAAAAGATCAAGTGAGGTCTAACTGGAGAGAGGAATTGGGGTGAGGACTGGGCTGAGAGATGTTGCCTCTTTTTCCTGGGCTCATCTGGCAAATAGCCCCTGTTATATACATCCATACACATATATGTAAACAATGTACATGTGGGTAAGTATATAATATATAAAAAGGAGAAAAAGAAAGGGGTAAATATAAGGGAATGAAGAAGGACTGAGTTCAGGTAAAGAGAACTTGTGTCATGAAAGATATAAAACTAATTTTGTTCTAGTTTCAACTATAGTTCCAGAATATCATGGATATTTTGGTGATGGATAAGTACAAACAATATTTTGGATAGTGAAGGTGTAAAATCGATGAAGAGCCACAGCTTCAGAATGCTTGTCTCAGCTCCGTAGATGTTTACTAAATGCATAGACTTTGAGTCTGGCTAATTTTGATGTGTGATTTTTTTTTCTTATTTGCAAATTGTTTACAATAAACTTTTAATTAAAATTGTTTGGGTTTCCAATATTGTCTTAATAAAGTTTCCCTTGGGTTGAGATTATTTTCTTCTAATATTTTTATTATTTTATCCTTATATATTTAAATAATCTAATCCTGGTTAAGCAAAATTATGTCCACATTTTAAAAAGAACTCAAATGGAAAAGAAAAAATCAACAGGAAGCTGATTTGGTAAGTTTGATTCACATAAGACATTTTTAAATGGGTGTGTGCTGTCCACCAACATTTCAGTTGGGGACAGGCTGCGGGTATACCAGTGGTCCTAAGAGATTATAATGAAATGGGGGCAGAGATGAGTGACTGGAGGGGCAAGAGAAAAGAGAACCCAGGAAAAGAGGGTGGAGGAAAAGGAAAGAACAGAAGAACTCCAAGAAAACCCACAGTTACAGGGTTCACAGGCTTTGCAGACCTCAGCAAGCTTTGAGAACAGGGACCCCACACTGAGGTCCCTAAGAGTGTGTCTGTCACCTGTCATCACTTCTCATCAGCCGAGAAGCCAAGCAAGCCACCCTGTACGTATTTCTGAAGAGTGCCACACGAGGAGCTTTGGGCAGGTCCTTCATGAGGGATGCCAGAAAAAGGTGGTGTGTCTCAGGGCATCATGGTCTTGAAGGCCTTCCAGTGGGACAGTATGTGGAGATGTAAGACAGTAATACCTTGACCTTGACCTCTGCAGACCTAGGTTAATGTGTTTGTTTTTATTGAATGTGTCAATTTTTAACAGAAAGGTTAGAAAATGGGAAAAGCTTACAGAGTAAGACTATATGTGTATATGTACACACAATTCTCATACAGCTGGACAATGTGTACAATGTCTTTATAGGTCCCCCCCCCCCCCAGGCTGGCCTCAAACTCATAAGCCTTTTGCCTCAGCCTACCCAGCTGTGATTACAGGCAAGGGGCAACCAAACTGGGATGTTTATGTTTTAGGCTAAATTTAGAATTTTTACTGTAAAGTAAAAATGTTAGAGTGAGCTAAGGTCACTTTCCGATTGAAGCAAGTTTATTTCTGAGGTGCTGGGGATCCAACCCAGCCTATGGGGCATGATCTCTTGAGAGTGGCATGGTCTATTGAGAGTGGCTGATGTACAGTGGTCGTGCAGTGCTCAGTCACGCCCCAGGCCTTCCATCACTCACCACTCATCTGAAGAGATTCCAGCCATGGAAAGTGCTCTATCCAAGTGTTCAATGTAAAACTGCAGGACTCTGTTTTTACTGTACACTGTGTCTCGTTATATCAATACTTACTGTTGAATCACTGTTGCCTACAGCGTTCAGTATAGTAACATGCTGTGCAGGTGTGTGGCCCAAGAGCACAAGGCTGTATCATATGGCCAAGGTCTGCAGAGACTCTAGGATTGTACAGTCGGGAAATCATCTAGTGATGGATCTTAATGTACCATCATCATTAGGATGCACAGTGTAATTATTTTTAAAATGGAGGCTCTCCACCATGCTATAATGCAGCAAGCAGGCCCTCAGCAGATGCTAGTGCCATACACTTGGACTTTTCCATGTCTAGAATCATGAGTCAGTCTCTCTGGTGCCTCCCCTTACAGACATCTCTCTCCACTCTCAGTGAAGTATAAAGGGCTGTGACAAGAACAGCAGCTTACAAAAGTTTAGACAAGGAGAAATCCAGGCCTGGGTCTCTGGGAAGGTTGCAGGAGGGCCGTGGAGTTAGACCTTGGCCGTTTTGCTGACTTTAGGTACTGGTACCCGAAGGATGCGGTGGGAGGAAGGTGGAGAACCAGCTGGGAGGTTTGGCTTGTAACCATGCTGTGCACTTGCTGGCTGTGAGATGCCAGAAGGTCCTGCCTCTCCTCAGTGTCCTCAGGAACTGGTGCAGTGGGATGGGAGGGGCGGAGTAGGGACCGCTTCCAACTCCAGAATGACAGGCAGGCTGGCCTGCTGCAAGAAGCCTAGCGGGTCACTCCACCCGAGTGGCTTCGCGGTGATGAGGTCTAGCTGGACCGGAGTGTGTAAGTCTGTTTGGGCTCCTCAGCGGGGCTGGGGGCAGGCGGGGTGGGGTGGGGTGGGGGCACTGGAGTAAGGACTGCCTTGGCAGAAGTGACCTTGATGCCTGGAGCACCTAATGTGGGCAGGCACAGCTGGCTAGAGCTCTCGCCGCTAGAGGGCGCTGCTTTCCCAGCCCCGGGTGTGACCGTCGCCACGGTGCGGGCGAAGTCGGAGGTGGGGACAACCTTAACTAGGAATGGAGAAGAGGAGGAGAGTGCAAGATTGGGTCCGGTGGGCCCTGTGACTTGGACTACTCGAAGCTGTAAATGGCCCTCGTACATCAAGAGAGGTGGGGTACGGGAGGGCAGAACTTTCTGGGTCCATTACGTCCCCGCCGCAGGTCCTGCCTCCCTCCTGGATGGCGGTGGGCTCTGGAGGGTGCAGACAGGGTTAGTGTCCTCGCCTTTGAGTCTTCTTTGAACTGCTCCGACCTCAGGGACTTCTGGACTCTTAGAAACCCTTGGTAAGAGATGGAGGACAGCAGTAAACGCCCTCATCTCTAAATTACGAGAAACCAGAGTTCCGGGGAAGCCATGGTGCACTTGCTAGGTGTTCTCTGTCCGCTCTTCTAACCCAGTTCATTGAGCTGGAACACAGCTTCCTAACCTCAGCTCAAAGGCAACTATGGGGGGCGAGATGGCTCAGCTGGTAAAGGCGCTTGCCTAAGGACTTGAGTTTGGCTGAGACACGGTGGAAGGAGGTAACAGACTCTTGCAAGTTGTCCTCTGACCTCCACATGCACAGCATGCATATAGACACACACGCACCTACACACACTAAATAAATACAGTAAAAATTGTAATTTAAAGGAAACCAAGGAGCCGTTTGAAGACCAGGTGAAGCACATGAGGCTTGTGCTCACTTGTGGTTCGTCTATTTTTCCTTTAATCTTGGGTATTTTGTTTCTTTTTCTGAGGATATGTGGAAAAACTAGAGAGCTCACAACCTTGTAGAGTGTATCTGCAAACCTGTACAGTTTTTTTGTTGTTGTTATTGTTTTGGTTTTGTTTTTTTTCGAGACAGAGTTTCTCTGTGTAGCTTTGGAACCTATCCTGGACCTCGCTCTGTAGACCAGGCTGGCCTCAAACTCACAAAGATCCGGCTGGCTCTGCATCCCAAGTGCTGGGATTAAAGGCGTTCACCGCCACCGCCGCCGCCGCCACCACCACCCAGCACCTGTACAGTTTTATATACAGTCTCAATGTACTTTTGCTACCTTCTAATTTATTTTACAATAGTAAGTTACGTTCGGTTATGTGTGAAGGAATAAATTAGTTAAAATGCTCTTTGTGGGGCTGGAGTGATGGCTCAGGGGTTAAGAGCACTGACTGATCTTGTAGAGGACCCAAGTTCAATTCCCAGCACCCACAAGGCAGCTCACACCTGTCTCTAACTCCAGTTTCAGGGGACCCCGATACCCATGGCAAAAACACAAGCACACATAAAATGCTCTTGTAAAAAATTAATAAGATGGGTTGGAGAAATGGCACACTACTCTTGCAGAAGATAGGGCTGGGTTCCAGCACCCACAGAGTGGCACCACTGTCTGTAACTCCAGTCTGAGGGCACCCAACACCCTCCTCTGGCCTCTGTGGGCACCGGGCTCACATGCGGTGCATATGTGTGTGTGGCATGTGTCTACAGTAGTCAAAACATTCATAACACATAAAATAAAAAATCAGCCTAGAATTAATAAAGCAAAATGTATAGGATAACTAAGGAAACAAATTCTATAAAGACAGTTGTTAGAACAGTTCTAGGAATGCATAATAATAGAGTAACACGTCCTTCTTCAGACCTCGTGTCCATCTGATAACTGCCATAATTTCTCTTTTTAAGTTGTAAATATTGTATCTTATGTGTATGGTTGTTTGGCCGACATGCATGCCTGGGAACCATTTGTGTGCCTGGTGCCTGTGGAGGCCAGAAGAGGGCACTGGATCCCCTGGAACTGGAGTTATAGAGGGTCCTGGCCCTCCACATGAGTGAGCCAGGTCCTCTGCAGGACCAGCCAGCACTCTCGGCCACTGAACAGTTACTCCAGCCCTCGTCTAGTTCAGTGAAATATAGCAGCTGCCCAAAGACTCGAGGACATCTGTGCTTTCTACTAACAGCAGATTCTACACTGGTTCCTTGCCTGCATTTTGTTTGTTTGTTTTATTTTGAGACAGGGTTTCTCTGTGTAACTCTGGCTGTCCTGGAACTTGCTCTGTAGACCAGGCTGTCCTGGAACTCGCTCTGTAGACCAGGCTGCTCTCAAACCCATAGAGGTCCACCTGCCTCTGCCTCCCGAGTGCTGGGATTAAAGGCGTGGTCCACCATGCCTGGCTCCTTGCCTGCATTTTTAATGGAAGCAAATTCCAACTCTGTAGTAGAGACTGACAAAATCGAAGATGTATTTTCTCCCAGACTCACAAATCCCGTTTGTGATCTGACCTTGTGGAGGGCCACATGCCGTAGGTTAGCAACCAGCTCTGATTCACAGGCGGAGGGTTCTTCACACTGAAGGATGTAGCTGGAACTGAACTTAAGGCAAATTATGACATTTTTAAAACCCAGGGATTTAGAGGTTTACTCTGCCCAAACCACACCACGGCTAGAGGCCGCCCTGTTGGTGTCACCTTCAGGGCACACCACCAAGGACATGAATGTCCCTCAGAGATGCCTCACAGAGGCAGCTCACAACTCAGCCCAGACCCAAGGGCTTTAGCAAAGGCTTGACAACCTTTGGTAACTTTCTTGCAGTAACTCTTCATCTCCTTCATATTTATAAAAAGGTGTGTCCTTCGTCCACTGCCTTCACATGAACACAGAACCAAAGAGAGCAGCCTGGAGGATTCAGCACAGCATGTGTGAGCTAAGCTTAACTCTAAAGCACTCACGGAGACTTCCCTCCCATGAATGTGGTGTGGCTCTTTACCCTGGTCTGAACCAGCCAAGGACTTGAAGCCCTAAGAAGGGTGAGCACACCAGCCCACCGCCATAAGTAGCCTGTCTCTTTCTCAGGCTTCTGAGGGCAGAGAACACTTATTTCCCTTTGAGAAGCAAGCTTCTCGGTGGCCTCCTGTGAGCAGGTCTGTCAAACATTCCATCTCTCCTCCCAGAGCCCAGGTCCCCAGCAGGCCTTTTTACCTCAGGACAGAAGTTCTTCCTCGCTCTCAAGCTAGGGGCTCACGTTGATTGCTCTTGAGTCCTATACTGGCTTTTTTTTCTTCTCTTGCTAAAAAACTGTCTCCCCACTTCCGCCATAGCTCATACTCTCCTCACTCTCATATTTGATCTTTGAAAAACCACAGAATGGGTTTTTAGCAGCTAGGGGGTCTTCCTGCCTTTCTTTCCTCCACTCTATAGTCTTTCCTCTCCGCCTTCTCTCCATCACCTCCTTCTCCCCACTCTTCTCTTATTAGAATACACTAGGGTTCTGAGAGGGCTGAGAAAAATCACCCCTTTGAAATAGGTTCCTTTACCTTAGGAAATGAAGATTTTTTTCACTTGCTAACTGCTAAGGGTAGCATTGGTAATAGAAATGACCAGAAGATGTGAAGTCAGAGCATGCTCTCGGGGATAAAGGCTCTGCGTCTTTTCCTGTGAGGGCCTTTTGATTTGGAGTAGTTGAGAGGGGGCAGACCTGTTCCACTCTGAACCCAGCGCAGCAGGAAGCCCTGTGGTTCAGAAACACCTGCCGTGATTGCCAACTGCCAGGATTGCCAACTGGTGCCAGGCTATCCAGAGCTTGAGTTAGCGTCAGAAGGAGTGGCATCGGGAAAATGCTCTCAGGGCTAATGCAGAGCAAACACTCTCACCGTTGTTATTGCTGTGGCTGTGAGATAGTCTGTAGTCCCAAACTGTAAAGGGCTCTAGTGTTTGCGGTCCCACCATTTGCCTCACTGAAGCCACCCTCAGATGAGACAGAAATGTATCAGTCCATCAGTGTTGGCCTTTCTTGGTGTGGTGAGTAGATTTCAGCTTGGCAGGTGAGAACCCACGTTAGGAAGGAGAATCTCTTACCTCTTCTCCGTGTTTCTCACCACAGTTGATGATGCCATGGACTTCAGTGAACTGCTGAAGTAGCCTGGTTCCTGGTGTCCCAGTACTCTTATCCTCTGTCCCTGTGATAGTGGGTGAAGTATTTGAATCCAGTTGTATGATTTTGCCAATGTCGCCTTGTTGTCGAGAGAACAGTAAGTGTTCTGCCTGCTTAAAAAAAAAAAAAAAAAAAAGGAGGAGAAGTAAAAAGAAACAAACTGGGTGGATGATAAATCATATTTTTATTTTCTATAGAATTATGGAGCTTCTGAACTGGAAGGACTACCTGGGAGTGTTGTCACAGGTTTGTGATCACAGCATTTGGGAGGCAGAAGCAGGAAGACCTTTTGAGTTCAAGGCCAGCCTGGGCTCCTAGACCCATCTTAAAATAAGTAAATGACAATCAAAAGACAGGAAGAGCCACAGTTGTGGTTCTGCTAATCCCGGTCTGTAATGATGTACAGAAATGTCTGTGTTAGTGGTTCTCAAGTGTGAGCATGTCCAAATTACCAGGCAGGCTTGTTACCAGAGTTGAGGGTCTGGAATTGCAGCTCAGTGTTGATGCAGGAACACAGCTCTCACCACAGAGGGGACAAGAGTGTCTTCTGGAACCAAACAGGAGTGACCATGGCCTGGGGATATGGATTTAGGTCACCCACCCCAAGTTCCATGTTCTGGTGTGGGAACTGTTTCATGAAGTTTTTATAGACACAGAAAATCATGAATCAGGGCACTTATCAAGTACGTTGGAGGAAGTAGCAGGGAGGCAGGGAGAAGCCTGCTGGGGTCCTTAGGAGCTAGCCCACAGCAGCATTCCTAGCCTCCTGGATTGGAGGAGGCTAGGGTTCTGTTAATTCATTCCACAAGGTTTTAAGATGTCAGTCTGACAGGAAGCGGGCCAAATAATGGCTATTTGGGGAGCCCCAGATAGCCCCAG